CATTTTCATCCAACCCGGCTAAAATTTAAAATTATATTTAAGTTTATTTTAAAATGAGTCGAAGTTTTAAGGCATAAATAAGATATTTGAAAATAAGGCATTGTCTTTCAACAATAGTATCATAGAATCTAAAAAATAACGATGGTTTGAACATCTTACCTATTATTTATTCTATGTAGATTAACGTCACTCCTTAATAACTTGTATGTCCTTTTGTTTAACTTATATAATCTCTTCATAATATATCTGCATTGTAACTACTAGAGCCATTAATCGATTTCCTAAATAAATAAATAGTCAACTTGGTTTTTAATTTCAGTTCGGCATTTACATGTGATTGCACGTGGTTCATGTACCTCCCGCCAAGAAATATTTATAAAATTATAATATATTCCTAGAGTGTATCGTACTTTAAAGTTACGTTTGTCACGCAATTGGATAAACAGAGGTCGCTTATTCAGTAAATACATTTTTGTTTAACATCCAGCAGCCTAATTCTAATTCGATGTCATTCCATGATTAAAAAATATAGCTAAGCGAAATCCAAATTCGACACTTTTTCCCGTGTTAAGAATTGAAATATCATTAATAAAATGTTGATTACTATGCTTTGACTGCGAATGCTCTCTGTGCCATTTTATAAGTGTAGTCATCGATAGCGATTAAGTAAAGCTTTTGAGATGGAAAAGCTTAGTCGGCAGTATGGTACTCCAGAGAATGTCTTTTTCGAAGATTCAATGGATGCAAGTTAGATTTCAATACTTTGATCTTATTTTGATCTCAATTCTAAAATATGATGTCCAATGCTAATTCTCTCCTTGAATCAATTAATACATCTTGATTCTACTCTTTGTCAATCTAAAAGACTATAATTGACTAAGGAGACTCCAGGCAATAGCTTAAGAATCATTGTTTCTAGTATGTTTTTTTCCTTTTATAAGCATGAGATTTTATCAAATATATCTGCCTAAATATCACTAGCCATCTCCGGTGAAAGTAGAACAGACGAGCATAGCTATCCAAACCGTTGAAGTGGATCCATTTCCCTCTGGTTATGAGACTGTGAACACAACCACCATGCCAGTCCGGCCCACTTCAAACCATGTCAAAGAGCTAACGCACCTAGACGAGCCGCTGAGTATGCCGAAGGAGTTGGGGTTACAGCCAAAGCCGCGTAATCCATGCATAGATTTTGGCTGCTGGACTGGGGATCGAGAATCAGAATTCTGGCTGGTAATTGCTCTGTATTGGCCTGTCAGATCCCATTTGAGCCAGGATATTTGCCAAGTAAAGCAGCCTAAATACCAGATGCATAAAGCTGGGCCGATGGAAGAAGATATCTCCAGGCATCTGCAGCCGGTTCAAGTGGAGCAAAACGTCAAACTTGAGTGTGCACTAACTTTCAATGGAAACACTTATTATATTGGCCCTTTGAAACAAGTAAGAAAATCCATGCAGATTTAGAGACAAAGAAAGTGGGATATTATTATAAATTAAAGCATCTATAGACAATTTTAGGCATATTTATGGCAAAGCGGAGACTGCAAAGGTTCCTATAAGCAGTCCATATGACCCTTACAGGGAAGGCTTAAATGAGAAACACCTGCAAGTTGGTTAACTTTCTTTAATAGCTTCTGAATGAGACTGCATTTGACTTATTTTTCAAATATCTTTTTCGGGTTAGGTAAACATGGATTATTACCTTTGGCACAGACTAGAGCATACTTGCTGGAAGAACTTGAATTTATCGCATCATATTACATTACTAAGTAGGCAAACTCTGCGATTTTTAGAAGGAACTTAAAATAGATTGCCAAAC